TTATCTATTATCTGTACTTCTATATACAAATGTTATTTTTATTAAAATAATTACACCCTGAATAGCATATGTCAAAAAATTAGCTCCTATAAAAAAAATAAATGAATAAATTTTTATATAACATTTACAAATGCAAATTATTATTTGAAAACTAATATCACCAGAGAGGGTTTGTTGGGCATGTGTTAAATTAGGTATATACATATATATTATTCATGTGTTGCAATACACACACAGGCACACACACACACATACATACATACACACGCGAAAAAACTAACAATGGGTGACTACAAAAAAAAAATCTTTCAAAAAATTTTGAAGGATAAAAGATGTGAATAACTAAAAAAATATTTGGTAATCAATATATCATTAGTGAAATATTGATTTGACTTAAAAAAATCAATCATACTTGTCTTTTTTGTAAATTCATATTAGTTACATATAAGTATGTCTTAGAAACTATTTCTATCTATATCATGCATAACTATATTGTTAATGCATTTTTATACATACATATATATATGTGTGTGTGTGTGTGTGTGTGTGTGTGTGGAAAAGTGAAGATGATGAGACAAAGTAAATTCCAAAACACTCTCCTTTTATTCAAACCAATGATGCCAAAAAGAATGTAAGTTTTCTTCAGTGAAATGTGTCTTTGGTCTTTGATAAAAATTTCCGATCATTTTGTCTCATCATCTTCACACACACACACATATATATATATATATATATATATATATATATATATATATATATATAAAAAAGAAAGAGGTTGTAGTGGTTCCAATGAGAGAAAAGTATGTATCTTGAAAAGAAGAGAAGAGAGGTGCCACAAACGTTTTTGGTTGTAATGTGCATTTATTTAGAAAAAAATATTATGCTTTGTTTTCCATAATATATTTTCCATATATATATATATATATATATATATATATATATAAGATAAAAATTTAGTTTTAAGATATGCTATATTTATGGGTAAAGTTGCTCAATATCAGAGATAAAGCATATATAAAAATAAAAGAGGATACTGCAGTCAACACCAAGTGGCGACAGTCTGTTTCATAGTTGAACACAATCTTCAGACCATCTTTAGATTTTGGTGTTTGGACCTAAAGATTGCATTCAGTCATGTGCCATGAATCCTTTGGCTGACTGTGTATATAGCAGATTTTATGTATGTAGATCACCAGGGCATTAGGGGAAGTTGGAGAAGTAGAAACCAGCCCTTCCCATTTTTTTTGTTTGTTTAGTGCTAATGGTGAAGGATATTTATGGTCATAACCTCTAAATTGTTTATTTATGCTGGTTGGGTGGTTGGTGGAAGTGTGCATATAAATAGGCTTTGTTTATTTATAGCCATGACGACTAGATTCCTTATTTACATACACACACACATATCTATCTATTATTTATTATTTTATTAATTTATATTACTTATTTATTAGCTTTGTCTGTTTTTTCTTTCATGTATTTTTCTTTGTTTTGTTATTAGGAACAAAGTTTATAGATTTACGTTATAAAATTTTAATGTAGTCTTTTTGGTCATGATAAGGTTGTAGGTAGTGCAAAAGGAATTTGTTTTTATGTATGCATTTGGAAATGAGTTCTGATCTTTTCTTTAGGAGTTTATTGTGAGTTAGTTTTCAAATAATTTTTAACAATTATTATTGTTTTATGCTGCTCTTTGATGGAGTCAGTATTTTCCCCTCCCTCCTTCATAATACTCAATCATTTTCATAAGAAAGACATTGCCACTTAACATTCCCAATGCAAAGGGGATATCTCTATACTGCAAAAACTTAAAGACATTACATTCAAAACACATGCAAATGCACTTAGTATAATTTATATATAGTTAATGATAAAATGACTGATATGAAACATCTAAAACAGGGTATGTAAGATGGAAACTAGCTAGGTGCAGAAAAATTTTATTCATTTGTTAAAATTTCATTGAATAAGAACACCATCAGAACAACAGTTGTTCTGATGATGTTCTTACTGAATGAAATGTTAACAGAATAGAAATTTAAGCATCCAACTGGTTTTCACATATTCCATATTCATATGTATCTGATAACTGTTAAACACATTAGCAATTACATTTATAAATATATAACACTCTCACATACATGTGTGTGCGTGTGTGTGTGTATACATATGCACATATGCATCCCCTGTATTATTGTTCTATTTTTGTTTGGGAAAAGAGAATTCAGTTAAATCTTGATTTTTTATAGATCTCACCTGAAGAACCATGTTTTTTTTGTTTTTTTTTTACCAAACTTGAAGATGCATGCATATTATAAGTGACATGAAATTTATATTTTGAATTTACTGATATGCAAGAAAAGTTTAGTATAATTTTAAAGCATTTACTGTTTTTTTTAAATACTTTACAACTTTTTTAAAGTTCAAAATCAATGCTATAAAAATATGTCCATCAATAAATAAAAATATTGGAATCTTTGAATTTTGTAAAAAATTAAAATCATTTAAAAACTGGAGCTAATTTTAAGACATCAATGCAATATTTGTTGGAATAAACCAACTTTAGCCCATGCCTATATCGATGGGGTAGATGGTGATGAATAGACTAACAATGGCTTGCAAGATGAGTATGCACACCATCACTCTGCAGTGTATGTGTTAATCAAGAAATATATCTATATATACATATATCTACATCTAAGATTTATCTACCTATATGTGCATACAGACACACAAATACATAAACATGCACACACACAAAGACATATGTGCATGTGTGTTTGTGTGTGTGTGTGTGTGTGTGTGGATAACAAAATGGAAAAACTACTTTGCACCATGTTTTTTGTTGCAAAAATAACTTCTTCAGTTTAATATATATATATATATATATATATATATATATATATATATATATATATATATATGAAAAAGGTTGAGGAAGAAATACAACTAATGATGGTTATTGCTCTTCCACCAACATGCACTCTTTCGATATATATAATTAGAAGTTTGACTTCTTCAATACTGCTGAAAAAAACATGTCACCCAGGAATTTTCCCATTTTATCATTCACTTACCCCTTCAAATATATATATATATATATATATATATATATGCATTGAAACCTATATAATATTTTGGTGCTATTTATTAAAATTTGTTTTATGTTAATATCATTTTGATTATTTGTGATATGTTGATCTATATGTGTGTGAATTGCACTAAATTTTTACATTGGCTACACATACACCACACTCCCTCATAGGTTAACTTGTCCATCTGCCAAAATTTAGTGCAATTTATAAACATATAGATCAATATATCACAAATAATCACTATATATATGTATATATATGTGTGTGTGTGTTTGTGCATGTATCTGTGTATATGTATTAGTATGTTTGTACATATGTTTTCAAGCAATGCATCCATGTGTTTCCTCAAGTAAAAAATGGCCTTGGTTAACACACGTACGCATTTCTCTTGATAAGGAACAGAGAACATGTTACTTTTGAACAGAGACTACAAATCACAGCTAATATGTAAATATAATTATTTTCTAACATCATGAAACCTTCAGCAAAGTTCACAGCCATAATACAATAATTAAAAAAGGAAATCATCTAACTCAGAAATATTCTGTAACTGGACTGGCTGCAAATATTTGCTTATGAGTTCAAAACTTTGCTGATTGTTTTATTCAGAATTTTACAATTTCCTTTGTATTTATCCTAGTTCTAATCAATATGTCATGAGATAACTACATTTAAATTACCTTGATCAGTAACCAATAACAAAATATAGGTTATATAGTTTTAAATGATCTTTCTAACATTGATTTGAAACATCACTCAGTTTTTTTAAAGAATTAGCAAGTTCTAATGATCTTTCTGTCTGTTTACATTATCAACCATACTTACTGCATATTTATTTGTTTTATTACATTGGGGAGACTATCTTTTAAAAAAACAATAATCAGTAATTGGATATTGTTGATTTTAATATCTGAAACAATTTCTGCATAACAACTGAGTTATTTCCCTTAGATTTCTTTATGCTGCCTCATATTCTGAACTCTTTGGATTTGAAAAGTGATCTTCATGGGTTTGTTCACCTCAGATGTTATTTAAATTTAAATTTAAATTTGACCGTGAATATTTTTTGTAGCAATTAAATAGATATTATAAAATGGTTTGAATAAATTATAATAATAATGGACTCTCCCATCGGTTTCAACGTATGAAGATCTGACAGCTTAATTGATTCAGTTATGAAATTTTATGCGATAATCTTCAGTGGCATTAAAGACCCTCTAGTGATTTACAAAAGAGGCCACATATAGAGCAAGAGTGAGGATTGTGAGATGAGATCACTGTTAGATTGGCTGACCTTTTAGATCTTGCTCTTGCTTCTTGATGATTCAGACAAGCAAATTGAAAACTGCTGAGTCCACTAAAACACGTTGATCTCCATTCTACCCGCTCCAAGGCAAAGTGCTCAAGGGTGTTATGTGGTATATTGACAGCTGACAAGTTGCTTTGCAGCTTGTCTTTGTATCTTAGCCATGGATTTCCTACATTCCTGTAGCTCTGATCTAACTGGCTGTATATTAGGATCTTTGGTATTTCAAATAGTACTTTTTATTTTATTTCTGATTCATGACATTTCAAATCCAAAGCAGAATGCAGAATATGAGGCTAGGTAAAGAAATCTAAGGAAAATGTAAAACATGGTAATTCAGTGTTTGATATACAGAAATTGTTTTGGACATTAAAATCAACAATACCCCAATATTTTTTTTTTTTTATGTTGGGATATTATAAAATTTGGAACTAAATTAAATTTTATACCTTTAGTGAAAGTTATTCAAAACTTATTAAAAGAAGCATCAATATCAGTAAGTGCTTTTAGTTGCTTATTTTGTGAAAAAGTTTGGTGTTTTAGATTTTAGAGGTGCCAATATAAACAAAGGTTATTTAGAAGAATTGCTTTGTTTTGAATACCTAACAGACTGGGGCATAGTCACCGACGAAGATTCCCACATAGAGCTGTTCAGTAGGTCACTGTAGTGAAGATTCTCAATACACTGCAAGAGAAAAAACATAATTGGTATTAGTTCAGGACCATTGGATGAGGATTTCAACAACTTGACATGCTTTTGTTTTCATATTATTAAGCTGCAGCTAAATCACATTGCTTCACACACACACACACACACACACACACACACACACTGAGAAATAAGTGACGTTATTGTCTCAATCCACTCACAAGAACCACTCAAGGTTGTTGTATAAGCATAAGAGGAAGTAGTAAAAGCAGAGTATGAGGATATGTAAGATAGACAACAGCTGACCTGAGACTTGAAGAGGTTAAGATTGTAGTAATCAAGGAAGTATCCTCTTTGGAATCTATTCTACAAAGTAACGGCTACTGGGAATAAGCTGTCTCCATGGAACTTCCTTCTTAACACTGGGGAATTAGAATGAGTTGACCCTTTGTATGTGGTATGGCAGTTCCTAGCCATAAATGTCTTAAATGGTAGAACAAAGATTGTAGCTTGTCTAACCATTTGACATGGAAATATTCATATAGTATCAATAGGCTTGCAATGTTTCATCTGTGGGAAGTGACTGTAGGGTGGAAAATAATTCATTGTCCACAAGGCAGCATAAACTCTTTTGAGCTTTGTCAAATCTATGAAGTGAAAATTGGGCAGCTCCAGCCCAGATATGATCTGACTGATCTGACTCCTGTAAAGAGAGAGCATGGTAACAGAAGCTAGGTACTTTCTGAAGTAGTATAAGGAACCAACCAACTTCAGTCATTGTAAGACTCAGTTGTGCTTTAAATGAACATGGCTCTTTAAACGAGACAGACTTTTAAAACCTATAAACCTGCACTTTCCCACAAATTTGACATGAATTGTTAGTATTTAATTGTTAGTATTTAATGCCATTTCATAGTTAGTCAGTGTTCTGGCAAGATGACTTCACATATGACTTAATTTCTTCTGCTTTACGCAAACAAAGCCTACCATAAATATTACAGGTGAGATCATACCTGTCATCTATATGGTCTGGAAGTTAACATTAACATTTTGGACACATCTTTTCAGCATTTCTTTTGCAACAGGAAAACTCTTGAAAGCAATCTTTCCATCATGAACCTTCTTCCACCAAACTCATTTGCGGCCATATATACATGAAAATGATTGTATCAATACATACATATATGTAAATGATTATACTAATACATAAATATATGTATAATGGTCACTTACTCATTTCTTAGAGAATCTATCTTATTTAACCAATCTCTGTCTCAAATGCATGCTCAGGCACATTTTTGTTTGATTAATACCCACAGAACCATTTTGTGGTTTATACTGCAACTATGCTAAGCAGACCTTAGTTATAGTTTCTGGGAGAGAGAGTGTATAATCTAACATAATCACCAGTTTTAACCAAGATGGTGCACTCAAACCTTTGATCATGATGTCTTGTGACCATCAATCATCAATGACTTCTGAACAGTTTTAGCTACCCAGTTTAACACACATGGTTTGCATCAATCCAGGCTATGCTTTTCAGCCACTTTCTATCAGTGCTACATGCTGGGATTGCCTCCCCAGTTCGATAACATCAAGAAGTTACCTCCCTGACTGATCAACCATAGTGAAATTCAAATCTGGGTCTCATGGTCACAAATTAGACATTCTGGCCACTAGGCCACACGTCCATATATACATATATGTACATAATTGAGTATTTGTGCAGCAATCTTTCTTTTATACAAGTTTCATTAAAGATGATTGACATGGTTCTGCAATTAAGCTTTATATTCAATTTTTCTTGCATTCATACGAGTGTTTTCTTTTCTGGATATAAAGTGTGTAAAAACAGTCTGAATATTTATCTCTCAGAGTGGTTTCAGGTATTCTATTAGCCATTATGAAAGATGTTTTGTTTTTGTTTCTTTAACTGAATATGTAGATTTTTATATGTATCTATAGTTATGGGAATGATTTTTTTTATTTTTCAAACATAATCAAAACATTGTGGCCATGTTTGTAGTTTATATTGCAGAGTGTTGGCTTTTTCTATTTTATTATTAATGCTTCATATTATTTTTATTTTATAAATGTACATACATACATACACACATACAAAGATAAAATAGTATAGTACAAAGTGGTTTATTGGATATCAGTGCAGAAAACAGAATTGGTTACTCAGATGTTCTTAGAAAATAAATAGGTAAAAGAATTTACTTTAGCAAGCAATCCACATCTCCCTCTGAAAGAGAAAAACCCAATTTCTAACAATAGTTATAAAAAGTTCTTTTGTCATTGGGAATATTACCAATTTTACAGCAGGCAAGTACAATCTTTTACTCTTATACAAAAAATAAAAGTGGAGATAAGTATCATTTAGTGTAAAATACAATATGATGAACAACTAACCAAATGATAAAAGATCTGTTATAAATTTATGTTCAATTTAAGTTTGGTAAAGCAAGAAGTAAAACAGAACAAAACTAAAGTAGTGACTTACAAACACATCTTTGCCTGTTTATAAAAGCAGAAAGCAAACAGAGAAATAAAATACATAATCAGTATTAATTGGTTAACGGTTTGTGGCCACCCTCTGGATTGTGAAGAATCAACTAAAAATTAAAGATTATGTTCCTTTTCAAAACTAATTTACTAACTCACTTTGAACCAGAGGAACTTTCTCTTTCTGAAAGTTTTTATCATGTATTTAATAATAATAATGCAATTAAGCCATTAGTGCATTAAGTTTTCTTAAAAGTTTAGCTCTTTTTTGCCTAATCTACCTTGCTGGCTAATTGTAATCTTGGGGCTGGTGGATTTTAAATTTTAGGCAAGCCACTGTCTCTCTGAAAAACTGAACATTATGCACTAATGGGTTAAATAGTTTTAGCATCCTAGCTTAGTAGGAGTTAGTTAAAGCAAAAAAGTATCAAACTTACTAATTGTTAAATCCAGAGAGTCTCCACCTCTCACAAATTTTTGGCCTATAGTGTATATCTGACACGCTTCACAGTATATAAACAAATAAGTAATTGAAAGTAAAGAAGTAAAACTTGTATCCACAACTAACCATTAGTCTAAAATCATAATCACTGAAAAATTAAAGCAGCAAATCACAAATGGGATTTTCAGATTAAGCAACAAATAACAAATTAAGCCGCATTTCAAGGCCCACTGCTACTAAATTTTGAATTTACTTTTTTGTCATTAATAGCACAAATTCTTCTATATGCTCTGTCCCTTCAGGACATAGGCGATCATAGCTTTCCAGAATTTCCTATCCTTTATTGCTCAAAGCAAAGATTTTTTTTTTCCCATATAATTCCTCTCTGTTCCTGTTTTGGCATCCATTCTCTTTTCCCCTGTTGACTTTAGTATGTTCTGTGAGTATCAAATTCCTCAAGATGTCCTAAAAAATTTAACTCTTTCTGATTTTAAGTAAAAGTGTTATGTTAGTTTTGTTTCTATTTTCCTTAAAACTTTCATGTTTACATGTTCTGTCCATGATATTCTCAGTATCCTCCTGTAGTACCATATTTCTGTTGCCTCAAGTCTCCTTTTCATATGTGAGGAAATTGTCCAGTATTCATTGCCATATTGATATGATAGTAGATAGATGATCAGTACTCTTTGTTTCTAATAAAAATTTTCCTATTTATTGATACTTTGTTTAGCTTTTAGAAGGCATATTTTGCTATTCCAATATTCTTTCATATTTCTTTGTCACATTTTATGTCATTTGTTATAACACTTTCTATACAGTAAAATTTCTGTACTTGTTTGACTTTGACATTCTGTCCTCTTGACCTTTTTCTTGCTTTCCTTGGCTACTTTCTTTACAAGTTCCTGCAGTTTTCATTAAGCCTCTGCCATCAACGCAGTGTCAGCTGCATATCTCTTGTTCTTAAGATTGTTTCTATCAATAATAAATCCTGGCAGAGCTTCTAGTTCTCTTGTCTCTTAGCTTGATTTAAAGACTAGCCAAAAATATTACAAGTAGAAAAATTCTAAATTTTAGTAGTGCTCGACTTTCAAAAGAAGCTCAGTCTAACAAACCTTAATCCAAGAACTGTTGCTAACCTGCCATCTTTATTTACATTATATTGCTTATTCTTATATTCTGTAATATTCTATTGCTTGAAATTCATATTAATTAAACAAAGAAATTTGAAACCAATTAGTTGTATTGCTCATTGAGGTATATATTTTAATGCATGTGCAAGGGTCTAATTGTTTGCCAAAGAAGAGATAAATTATTTTTTAAGAAATAAACAAATTAATTTTTAAGTGATAAATAAATTAAATATACTAATTTTTTAGTATCTGTCAATATGTCTAGGTAGTGGATAAGTTGGAGAGGGGAATTAACAGGAGGTAACTGATAACTGACATCCATTAGACATGGCACTTGGAACTAGAATAGTCTACCCCAGTGGGCAAAATAAAGGGTTCGGTTCAACATTCCAACCACCTGAAGAAGGCCGGAGTGTACAACGGCAGAAATGTTGTGATAAATATGGCAACAAAGATCAGGACAATAGTCCGAATAATGTAAATAATGCTGATTTTTTTTTTATTTTGCAGTTTTCAAAATGTAGATTATTTTCCAGAAAAAAGGAACTTTGATGATAAGAATAAATAATTATTTATAGCAATCAAGCAGGAATAAAAGTCTAAAATTCACAGTGATAAACAATAGCAGTATAGTATAAAATTCAAAATATTTTTAAAGCATTCATCTAGATCTTTTCATACTAACATAGGTATGCCTCCCACCTCAAAAGCTCTATCCTTGGTCCTACTTTGTTGTTAATTTTCATTAATGACCTTTCTGATGACATCAGCTCTCAAATTTGTATCTACGCTAATGATACAACCATCTACTCCTGTTTGGATAGTAAGGTTGATCAGTCTGACAAGGTCAAAATGGCAGTTTGGTGAGGAGAAGAAAATGTCTTTCTTTCACAAAGTCATTACTGAATATAAGAAACTTAGAATTTGAATTTGGTTTCAGTCACACTAACCACAAA